GAGTTATTAGTAATAATATAGTAAAGACTGGTTATAGGCAGGCGCAGTGGCTCATGCCTGTAATCCCAGCACTTTAGGAGGCTGAGGCGGGTGGATTACGAGGTCAGGAGATCGAGACCATCCTGGCTAACACGTAGAGCCCCGTTTCTACTAAAAATACAAAAAAATTAGCGGCGTGGTGGCGGGCGCCTGTATTCCCAGCTACTCGGGGCTGAGGCAGGAGAATGGTGTGAACGCGAGAGCGGGAGCTTGCAGTGAGCCAGATTGCGCCACTGCACTCCAGCTGGGCAACAGAGGAGACTCTGTCTCAAAAAAAAAAAAAAAAAAAAAAGGCGGGCGCGTGGCTCAAGCCTGTAATCCCAGCACTTTGGGAGGCCGAGACGCGGCGGGATCACGAGGTCGGATCGAGATCCGGAGACGGTGAAACGGTGTCTCTACTAAAAATACAGAAAACTAGCCGGGCGGAGTGGGCAGGCGCCTGTATGTCCCAGCTACTCGGGAGGGCTGAGGCAGGAGAATGGCGTGAACCCGGGAGGCGGACTTGCAGTGAGCTGAGATCCGGCCACTGCACTCCAGCCTGGGCGGCAGAGCAGAACCTCGTTCTCATTTTTTTTAAAGCAGTTTTAGGGTTTACAGAAAAACTGGGCAGAAAGTACACAGAGTTCCCATAAATGACATATTTTTAAATTGAAACTCTGGCAAATTACTGTTGACTGTTTGTTTTTCTAAATAAACTTTCTTTTGGAACACAGTCCCTCTCATTTGTTAATGTACCGTCTTTGGCTGCTTTTCCACTATAATGCAGAGATGAATCTGTGCAGCAGAGACTGCAGGGTATGCAAAGCCTAAAATATTAGTATTTACTATCTGATCCTTTACAGGAAAAGTTTGCTGATCTCTGCATTAGATGATTTTTTTTAGAAGCAAATACACAAATATTTCAACTCACTTATTTACAAGCAGTCAGTAGTATATTCATTTCCTGAATTGTAGCCAGTAAAGTACTTTGGATGTTTATTAAAACTAAAAAGTGCCTACTTCACACTAATACTATGGAGCCATCCACAGATCTTAATTATTTTTTTTTAACCATTTGAGATCTTCCCAAAAGCTTGCTTCTTTTTTTTTTTTTGCTTTCCTTCACCAGCATCACCTCAAAAGCAAGTGCCAAGGGTTTTGTTAATAACCTAATAAGGCTTTGTTAATAACCTAAAAAGACTTGTAAGTCTTTTTAGATTTTTTCAAAGGAGAAACAAGTTATGAGATAGCTGGCTAAGAATATAGAACTAACAGTTGTGGCAGTCTGTCTGAATCTCTAAATTTTAAGTTTTACAATGAAAAAAAATAACTGGCTGGGTGCGATGTCTCACGTCTATAGTCCCAGCACTTTGGGAGGCTGAAGTGGAAGGATCACTTGAGCCCAGGAGTTTAGACCAGCCTAAGTAATATAGGGAAACCCTGTCCCTACAGAAAAAACCCCAACACAAACAACAAAACTTAGCCAGGTGTGGTGTTGCATGCCTGTAGTTCCAGCTATTTGGGAGGCTGAGGTGGGAACATCACTTGAGTCCAGGAATTTTGAAGCTGCAGTGAGCCATTGTCATGCCACTGCACTCCAGCCTGGGCAACAGAGAGAGACCCTATCTAAAAAAAAAAAAAAAAAAGAAAGAAGAGAAAGAAAAAAATGACAAATCAAGTATGACCTCTTTTAGTAATTATCTACAACATATTGTTTATAATAAATGAGTACTTTAACAAATACAAAGGTACTTGGAAGACACTTTAAGTAGTTTAAATATTCCTCCTAAAATTTGAGCAAAGTATCTCAACATATATTAAAAAATAGCTCCCAATAGAGGCCAAATAAATTTTTATTATCTAGGAAAATGTCCTACCCTATAAATATTACTGAATTAACTGGATTTCCTGAGGAAATTATTATTATTATTTTTAAGACATGTTCTCACTGTCCTCCAGGATGGATCGCAGTGGCAGGATCATAGCATACTGCAGCCTTGACCTCCTGGGTTAAAGCAGTCCTCCTACCTGAGCCTCCCAAGTAGCTGGAACTACAGGCATGCACCACCACACCTGACTAATTTTTGTATTTTTTGTAGAGGTGGGGTTTTACTACATTGCCCAATCTGGTCTTGAACTCCTGGCCTCAAGCAATCCTCCCACGTCAGCCTCCCAAATCACTGGGATTACAGGTGTGAGCCACCGCACTCGGCCCTGGAAAATTATTAATATAAGCACAAGAATATTTAAATTAATAAAAGAAAAAATCTACTCAGACTCCAAATGTTCCACTATAAGGTAAAACCTAAAAAATCTAGCTCAATTATTCTATCGTCCAGGCTAGAGTGCAGTGGCAATATCATGGCTCATTGTAGCCTCAACCTCCCCGGGCTCAGGTGATCCTCCCACCTCCACCTCCCAAGTAGCTGGGACCACAGGCGTGCGC